TGCGAAGTTTGTGCGCGCGGGAGTGCGAATTGTGCAGAAGGTCACCCTAAGGCTCAAAAGGTCCTATAGGAATCCCTTTTGGGTTCCTCATGTTGGTTTCATCCTTCTAAGTGTTAGAAGTCGATACCACACACGCGAAACTCCAGAAGGGGACGGAAGCGGGTCGAACTTAAACGAGGCGGGTTCCACTTCTAAGGTTTTAAGATAGTCGCAGGAAGACCCCTAAGGCTAGATCCTAACTCCTACGAGGAATACTAGACCTCACGAAAAAATTGAGGTCAACAACACCTAATAATAAAATTAGAAGTTTCAACTGTTTTGATTTTGTGGTCCACATATAGGGGTTTACAACTATCTCAAATCCCCCCATCTCAAGCACTTGGCAGCCTACTGAAATGGGACTTATGGAATGTCATATGCGCGAGAGTAAAGCCATGCAATTCCTATATGAATTAAGTTTGTTCTATTAAGCCTCAGAGACATCCTTTGTTGAGATTTTTTTCCTACATTAGAAGGGCAATTATCCCAATAACCTGTGACAAGGGAAAAACTTAACCATGATAAAATAAAGCCGTGGCCACAGGGTAAAAATCTTTGTATAGTTGATGTTCCCAATCTGTCGCTAAAAATTCCTACTTCAAGTCAAAACTAGTTCCCCTTATTATCGAAATAATTAATTAGACCACTTTTAACTTCTAATTAATTAACTCATAATCACTCTGGTCATTTTAAACCTTATTTAATGTCCATAATTTGTGCATTCAGATACTGATTAGCTTATATAGTACCATTAAATATTAACTAACCTAGTCAGCCCAGTGAAACTCTAACTAGCACTAATTACTATAGTAGTTTATTATTCCCCTTCCCAACTATGGGATGTATTCTGGCTGCTCCTTCCTAAAGGCTTGCTTCGATTGAGAGATCACCCTTTTAGTTGCACTAATTGGCTTATAATTATTTGCATATTTTAGTTCCGCTCTTGATAACATTGGCAATTAAAATTTTGCTAATCTCTTAATATTCTTTCAGCAGTCAATTCTTAACATTTTTCCTGTTAATTCTTTCTCATTTTATTTTCTTTTCAAGAGCCCAATACTGTTTCTTTATTGGAGCATTTACTTACATACCACTCAATTCCTATATATTTACATATCTAACACCTAAACTTTTACTTTTTAAATTTATACCACCCAAATCCTTCTATTCACATAAAAAATACCACCATTTTAACTTCTAAAAGGTGAAGTACACCTTTTCATGCATAGGTAAGGTGGTGTGTATATAAAAATTGAAGTTTTGGTGTTAGATATGCTAATACATAGGCATTAATTGGCATATATGCAAATCTTCCTTCTTTATTTTGCTCTAAGCCATTTTTCTCTATTCCTAAGTCAGGCTTCATTCAAGATAATTTTGGAAGTACCTTCTGATCATGTAGCATTGTCAAATATGCCTGTTACTAAAGAAGAAGTCAACGGGAATGTGAAGAAGCTATATTACCAGGAATCTCCCATTATGTCTACTTATTTGGTTGCTGTTGTTGTGGGCTTGTTTGATTTTGTAGAGGCCTCCACAACTGATGGTCAGTCAGTATGATTTCAAATTATTTGACATCATATCTTTTGTTCACCTATCAAGTGCTAATTATTTTTCTCTTTCAATCTTCTTCAGGGATTAATGTTCGAGTCTATTGTCAAGTGGGTAAAAGCAATCAAGGAAAATTTGCTTTGGATGTAGCTGTGAAAACATTAGATCTTTATAAAGAGTAATTCACAGACTTTATATTTGATATTTTATTATCCATATATATATATTATATATATATATATATTTTGCTCTTGGCTGCTCAGTTCTGTGTTACTAGGTTTTTTTATTTAGTTCTCTCGCCATTAGAAGTTTTCTTACTATTTATCTGTTGGTTTTAGATTTTTTGTACTCATTGATTGTTATTCTTCTTTGTGGTCAACTGCTTTTCTCGATCAATTACTTCCAGTTAATGATTAATCACCATAATCCAGGTACTTTGCAGTTCCATATCCACTTCCTAAACTTGACATGATTGCCATTCCGGATTTTGCTGCTGGCGCCATGGAGAACTATGGTTTAGTGACTTATAGAGAAACGGCTCTTCTCTATGATGAACGCCATTCAGCTGCTGCAAATAAGCAAAGGGTAACTTATATTTGCTTTGCTTTTTCTCCTTTTTTTCACTCCATTGAAAAATATATTTGCTTAGTTTTTTTTTTATATTTATTTTCATCTTTTGTTAATTTACATTCCATGTCTAGTAGCAATACTCAATTGCATAACCAATTTTCCGTTAATATCTTATGGTTTTCTTGATTACTTTGTTTAAGAAAATGATATTACCATTGCTCATCATTTTGAAGGGCTGTTGTGTCTGAATGGAACTTTCAGGTGGCAACCGTCGTTGGGCATGAATTGGCACATCAGTGGTTTGGCAATCTTGTCACCATGGAATGGTGGACTCATTTATGGCTTAATGAGGGATTTGCGACATGGGTAGCCAAGCTCACCTTCTTTGTGACTTTCTTTACTAGATGTACTTGTGGAATTGTTGAATGAGTTTAATTGTATATTTACAGGTTAGTTATTTAGCAGCAGATTCCATATTTCCTGAATGGAAAATCTGGACACAATTTCTTGATGACACTGTTTCAGGCCTTCGCCTGGATGCACTTGCGGAATCACATCCTATTGAGGTGAAGTTCTTTTTTGAGCGTGTCAATTTTTTTTTTAGCATGCAAAATTTTGTTGTTAAAACACTTAGAATATTTTTGCTTTCAAATCCAATGGAAAAAAAAAACCTGAATTTAACTAGAATTAAATTTTGCATCATTGCATATGATGATTAGGCTAATTGGTTCAACTGGAATTAAGAGTAAAGTGCTAACAAAGTTTCTTGACTATTTAATGGGGTCATTTTAGTCTCAGAGTATAAAAGTGTCAAATTAATCCTCATACTCTTCAAATTGGGGCTAATACAATCCTCCGTGGGGATTATTTCCATTCATATTAAAAGTGTCTCGAGACTAAATTAGCACTTGTATAGACTCTGGGATTAAAATGGGCCATTGCAAAGATTTAGGGAACTATTTTGACACTTCTCTGTGTGCATTTACTTTTTACAGGAGTTGGAACTTGTTCTAAAGGTGGGCTTGTGGAGTTGGATGTGTGTACAAGGCTTGGAAAGAGGGTGCTTTGACTAGTAAAACGGGTTGCACTTATATTTAGGTGTTTAGGTGTGCAGTATTGCAGTGTGTGCGTATAAGAAGGATTTGGGAGGCTTGGGGAGGTGTTTCACAAGTACACTATGGGATTAGGAACGTCAATATTTTTACATTACCTTATGGTTATCAGTTCATACCAAATCAGCTTAGTTTGGCTTTCAAAATTGAAAATTTAAGTCTTGATTTTAGTTGATTGTACGAAAACCAACTCATATTCATGCCTCATGAAGGCTGGTTCAATTTCAAATTTACAATTCTAGCAAAGGGCAACAAACGACATGCCCGCCGTTATTCAAGCCACATTATCTAAATCCTATAAATCCAGCAGAAGGTAACAAACCGCAGACCTATAATTCCAGCAAAAGGAGAACTGTAGATAACAAGAAGCCCAACAAGCAGTAGATATGAGAGTAAATAGCAGCAGAAATAATGAAACCGAAATAAACTTTGTCAAAGCTATAGGAACTTAGATTATTCCGAACCACAGAACTAAATTCTGAACTGTATTAAATGGAAAAACCTATATTCTTAAGAAACTAAAAACTGCCTTGACAAATTCCACATTGATGTACTTAGCTTCGTATAAATCAACTTTGAAAAATTGAGCATTGATATTCTTTTGGTAAGTTTGCACTCTATGCAATATAATCTACATACATCACATAAATATTGCATGGCTAGAGCACTTGCTATCTTTGGAATCCATGACCAACAGTATACACAACCTCATAATAAAAAATAATTTCAGAAATAAGAAATATATTATGTCTAACATAAGCATTAGATGTCAATTCATAAAGAAGAGTGAAAAGTGAAGAATCCATGAAGTTGATAGCAAGTTCATGAAATATGTTTGAATCAGATACATTATAAATGACTTGTTGTTTCTTGTTTTTACTTCTTACAGATTCCAAATGAAAGCTTTTTTTGAATTTAGATGCACCACTACTTTATCACTGGGTTTAAGCTCAATGTATTGTTTTTTTGCAACCGTAGAAAGCTGATAATTGTCATATAACCAGTATTCTTCGAGTATCCAACTATTTGAAATGAGGGAAGTAACAAAAATGATATGAAACTAATGTGTCTTAATGAATTCCAATAATGACCTATAATTAATTCTTAGAAAATGAGAATATAAAATATTTAAAAGCAAGCAAACCACTATTTATAATAATAATAAAAAAGCCTAAATGACTTGATAATTTGCTTCGATGTATGATGCACTTTTAGGATTTGCCACATATATTTAATTTATATTTTGGGCTTCATTTAAGTCATTTATTATTAATGAATTTATGAAATATTGGTGTCACTTAGCCCTTGTTGTGAGGCTTGTTCTATGAATTTATATCATCAAATCAACTAAAAATAATAAATATCAATCTAATCATTTATCATAAAATATTTTATGAAGTAATTATTTAAAAGTTAGATTTTCAGATTGGTCAACTACAATAGCATTATTTGTTTAGTTTCACTTCAAACGTTTACTTGATTTCTTATATGTTTCGGTATATTTGTAATCTCAAAATCAATTTTGTTTTCATCTTTCAATTTTGATTAAGCTTTGATTTATGCTCGTGATGATCATCTAATGTAGATGTAAGTTTAGATGTAACAAAAATCTGATATATATTAAGATGAGATGCTATTGATTTCTTATATCAATATTCATGAACAATATTTTTATTAATTGGATAAATTTCAACCATACGTGTTTCTAGCAATAAAGTATTTTATTGGCTTTAGATGAGATGCTATTGATTTTATTTTTGGGAATGTAGACGGGTTTGACAACCCTAATGGATGCTAGTATCATGCTTAAATACTAAAAGATGAAAAAAAAAATACTAAAAGATTTAGATATAGCTTCAAATAGTATTTTCAATGACTTGTAGCGCGGTTCATTTCAAATTAAATATGGAAGTAATTTAATTAAATTTAAGAATTATAAAAACTTGCATGCTTCAGATTATTTATTATAAATTTTTATCCTTGTGCTAATAGATATGCTGATATAAGGACAAACCAGTCCGTTTACTAAACACTAAGATTTAAGTCTTTTTTGAAGGATTTATTTCAAAATTAATCAATATTACGGCCTTATCCAAGTCGTATTTAGGATTCAAATCTTTTACTTCCAGCACATGATAACAAATTGCAACCTCGCCCTTTATCCAAGTCAGGGTTCAGGTTCCAAATCTCACATGTCCTGAATATAATAAACTGTAGGCTTATAATTCTACTGATGGGAGAGCCATATATAAAAAGAAGTCCAACAAACTCCAGAGCAGGAACTAGATAGTGGCAGAAATAGAGGAACCAGAACAGCAAGTTGCATGCGACTGAAATCCATAATATTTAAAAAAAATCCATAGTTTATATGAGCTCCACCTAAAAGCTGTATTAGGACATTCCACATCATTGTTGTTTATGCCTTGCTCCATTAGTCAAACTATTGATAACTTGTTGAACCGTCTTTCATTTTGCTTGCAATACACACGTGAAGAATTTCTTTTACTTTGGCGTTACAATATGGCAATAATCACATTTTTTTCTCTGCAGGTTGATATAAATCACGCTAATGAGATTGATGAAATTTTTGATGCAATTAGTTACCTAAAAGGAGCCTCTCTGATCCGAATGTTGCAATGTTTCCTTGGTGCTGAGTGTTTTCAGGTTTGGTTTTGCTATGAAGTGATTCTAGAAGTTTTTTATTCCTTGTTATGATGAATTTCTCGATAATGTAGAAGTTTTTCCTAAGTTTACACCTTTGAGCTGAACTAAAAGTGGTTTCTTGGTTTATTTCTGCTCTCTTTTTACTGCAATAAAATTATCTGCTTCTTAAACTATACCATACCTAAATAGGTAATGACTAAAGTTGAATTTTAAATAATGACTGTACACGCCATTTCTCTGGATTTTAATAGATTTCTTACCTTTCAAATGTTTCTTCGTCTATGTTTTGGTTGACTTTAGAAGTGAGCTCTATTATGATTTATGCAATACCTGTGTTTCTATATCTCTGAAATTATTACTGTCATTCAGAAATCGTTGGCTTCATATGTGAAAAGATTTGCTTATTCCAATGCAAAGACCGAAGACTTGTGGAATGTTCTAGAGGAGGGCTCAGGTGAACCAGTAAAAATTTTGATGAATTCATGGACTAAGCAGCAGGGTTATCCAGTTGTTGATGTGACCTTGAGGGATGGAAAATTGGAGCTTAAACAGGTATGCAAAGAGAACTCGTATTATATATATAAATGTTTTCATCATTTTCATTTTTTTTAATTTTTCCAGAACATTTTCAGTGCGCATGTTTAAGTTCCTTGCATTTCTATGAGAATTTAAGCCTTTTTGCTTGAATTGATAGATCTACTTAGGGGGGTGTTTTGTACACTATTTAAACACAGATCTTCGTTAAATATTAACTTAAATCTGCCCAAAAAAAAAAGTTTTTTGCATCTCACCGTTATCTAAATCCAAAATTTTCTTTATTTTATAAGTAATCCTGGATTTATCAAATCCAATTTTTATATGGATTCAGAGGATTTAAGAGAGGATATGTGAGTTGTCAATTCTCTCATCGCCAAACACTTCAAAGGGATTTAATTGGATTTAATCTAATCAAACAAAATGTTTTTCTGGATTTAACCCTTTTGGATTTGATAAATCCGGATTTACAAGATTTATTAAATTCTGGGCGTAGCCAAAGACCCCCTTACTGTATCGATAAAGAATTTTATGCTGATTTTGCATGCTTGTCTATGATCGCTAATGCGCTACAACATCTGGCATCATTTTATTATATGAGCTGAGCTAAACTATGGTTTTTGGGAATGAATTAAAATTGTGCTGAATTTCTAAACTCACTTAGCATAGCTACTTACTAGGCCGAAACAAATGCTTTTAGTAAATGTGTTTGTAAAGCTGTTGTTTGGAAACAACTTTCTTAAAGGTTGCTGTGAGTATATAAATATTTTTTATTTTGAAAAATCAAACATGTGTATTCTTATAGCTATCACACTTTATTAGATCTGTCTATACAGAATGGCTTCCCACCAGTAGAAAAAAAAAAAAAAAAAGCTAAACACTACTATGGTAATATTTTGAAATGCAATACAGTGAAAAGCTATCCCAAAGAGCCAGTTAATATACGAGGCTTCAACCGACACAAGTTACGAGCAATGGTTTGTGAACTCATTCTTACCTAATTTTAACTGTCTACTTCACCATGATTTGGATGTATAATTTTCAAGCTACTATGGAGATAACCTAAATATCGGTCTAGGCCTACCCTTAAATGAGAACTTGTGTTGGTTCGAGACGTTCGTCATCTAGTTGTTTTATACCTTCCCCTCCTAGTTAGTTCAAGACGTTCGTCGTCATTATCCCTACCCTTATGGGAAATGTACGAGTGACCACCCGGTGGAAGGTGACTCATTTGTTGGAGCATGACCAACGTTGGATGCAGCTGTGTCTACATTTGAATTTTGTATTTTCTATACATGTTTGGTCCACAGTCCATGTAAAAGAGGGAGTCCCTCTACTTTTTACTCGTTCTGTTTTTCTTTTAGCTTTTGTACCCTTTTTACTTCTAGTTGATGCAACATGTTTGGTCCACATTTCTGTTTTTCTTTTAGCTTTTGTGCCCTTTTTCTATACATGTTTGGTCCGAATGAGAACATGTGCTGGAGGAGATTGGATCTACATAAAGAACCCTTTTTTTAGCTCACATTTATTTAACGATAATTTGCATCTTTCATGCTTTGATTTTTTTTTTTTTTTGTGTTTTTAATGTTGAAAATTTGGTTCCTCAGTGATTAAGTATTTGTTTCTTTATGGCAGTCCCTTTTTCTGGCAAGTGGTTCTCCAGGAGTTGGGGAGTGGATTGTTCCTATCACAATGTGTTGTGGCTCATATGAAACTACAAAAAAGTTTCTTCTACAAACAAAATCAGAGTTAATTAATGTTTCTCAACTTCTCGATTCATCAATCACTAATACTGGAGAAAAGGCTGGATGCTTTTGGATCAAATTCAATGTTGATCAGACAGGTTTCTATAGGGTGAAATATAATGGCGAACTTGAAACTGGAATCAGATATGCAATAGAAAACAACAAACTATCTGCAACAGACAGATTCGGTAATTTCTTTTAATTCCTTCACTTTGCATATTGGTCTTTTAGTTCCTTTATTTATCTTTATTAATTTTTCTAACGTAGGGATCTTGGATGATTCATATGCACTATGCATGGCTTCCAAGCAGAATTTGTCATCATTGCTCTCTTTAATGACCGCTTATAGAGAAGAACCTGAGTATACTGTCACTTCTCACTTAATCACAGTATGCAATTCTTTCGATTTATTTTCTTTGCTTATTTAATGGCTCTGGTTTTCATGTATCCTCCTTTTATGAATTGCAGGTGAGTTACAAGGTAATATACATGATAGCTGATGCCAGTCCTGAGTTGTCTGCCGACATCAAGCAATTTGTAATTAGTCTCCTCCAGCATTCTGCAGAGTAAGTTGTCAGAAGCAGTAGTTAATTTTCTGTCTATTTACATAATTATACGTTAAAAGGCCTGGTCACCAGCATTTTTATATTGGTTTTTAAGTTCTCTTTTATATTGTTGATCATAAAAGAGGTCTGCATGATTAGGGGCATAAACAAGTTGAGCTTGAGCGAGTCCGGTGTTTGTTCATGTTTGGCTCATTTAAAAATTTTTTGTTTGAGATTAGCCCCTGTTTGAAATAACTCGTGAGTAGTATGTTTATGTTCGACTTGATTAAAATTTGTTTGTTCGTTTTTAGCTCAAATTGACCTGAAATGATTTGTAAAATAATAAAATTTAACATTTTTTTAAAATAAAACAAAAAAATCAATAAAAAATTATAATAAATTGTATTTATTTAATTAGTTAATTATTTTTACACTAAACAAGCTGCAAGCACAATCAAGCAAAGGTCTATTCGTGTTCGGCTCATCTATAAATCGAGCTCAAAATAACTATTTGTGTTCGGCTCATTTGCTTACTGAACGAACCAAATACATGCCACTTAGCAAGCCAAACAGCAGTTGTTCACAAACATCAAGCTTTTTTGACAGCCCTACTCATTATTTATCTACTTACCTCCATTTCTATTATGAGTATACTACATCATTTTTTTAAACTTTCATGAGGAAAGGTTTGTTGGAGTTTCAATTTTTGCTTATAGATCATAAAAACTTATTTTTTTTCCTAAAAAATTCTCAAGCTTTTCATCATGTGCTTTTATTACATCATTAAAAACTATACGTTGTATTTGTGATAGTGTTTTAATTTCTCAGCTTTTAACATATTGAAATAGATCTTTTACTTTTTTTTTTGTCTTGACTTAAATTGAGATTGAGCATTTAATTATATTAGATAAGTAAAAACCATCAAGCATTGGTAGCAATTAAAATCTTACTGAAAGGCAATGTGCAAAATCAGATGATTGTCATATTTTTAATTAACATAGAATATTTTGATCAGTAAGTATAAAAGTTGTAAAAAGAATCTACTGACTACTAAGAATATGCTAATCAAATGAAGTTCAGATCTCATTGTCACCAATTTATTTATTTATTTTTTTTTATGAAAATAAAGAAAGATTGGTCAATCAAACTCCAAATATCTTGCCAATGTTCTAATAATACAAGTTAAAGTCATCCTAATTACCAATGATTATCCTCTTAATTTTGTTAATCAATAATTTATTTTAAAGTTTTATGGGGTTTAAAATAATTTTTAAAATGATTTAAAAAAATGAGTTGGGTTGACTTGCATTTACCCTGACACCTCTAATGTAAATACTTCCTCCACTTGTTCATGTTCACTTGGGAACACTTGCTCTACTTCTCTAGTGATACCGCAACAATTGACCTCACCACCACCAAAGGAAAACCTATGAAATAAAGCCTTATATTTCCATCAGCCACGTGCTACTCATCATTACGCCATTACTAAACGTTGTTAACATCTCAACCCATTATACTTGAGATTGTCATGCGATTTTAAGTGCTCCCATTGTTGAATGACCTCTTTTGCACCACAAATCCCCCTTAATACAATGTCAATAGTATTGATTAGAGGGCAACTTGAGATGGTGAATGTGAGTTACAAATAAGAGTGCTAATCTAAGTAATGGGCTGGCTTTGGGTTATATCAGAAATTGGACTGGCTAATATTTGTCATCTCATTGATTTATGTAATTTTTTTTGCCTACTCTTCAATCCGTAGACTATCATAATTATTCTATTATTATTATTCTGCTAACTCACTAATTCATGGACTATTATAATTATTTTTGTATTTTTGTATGTCTATTGTTAAAAACTCTCCTAGGATTATATAATTATTATCATAATATTAGAATGAAATGCCGACCAATTTTGTCCATTTTTTGTCCTATATGGTTCTTCATGACACATGAAACTGATGTGATTTTTTAACCTTGTGATAAATCAAGTCTACAGGATAGTCCTCAAAATTCTAAAACTAGTGATATAATTCTGCATAATATATTAAAAATATATACGTTTTTCACTCTATCTATGCTTTTAAAAACAAATTGATGAATTGAAAATGTGCCCGCACCAAAATAGATACTCTGGTTTTGTCTCTTGCTTCAGTAGTTACCTTTCAGTCATATGATAATTGATCATTGAATAATGACAACTTTCTTCTGTGTTTATATTTTCCGACTGTCTTCTCTATATTCATTGCATGACACACGATAATATTATGAAAATATTGAAAAGCTCACGTGTTACTAAAAATTAGTACCCGAATACTTCTTCTTCAGCATGCGGCATCTTCTTCCAAGTCTAATTTTTTTACTTTTAGGATATTAAGAAGCTGCACTGATATCTCCCGTTATTTTTAAAGTTTCAATGAGTATGTCATATAAAGGTGAACCGTGACTTCAATTTTAATTTTCTATTTCTACATGAACTTTGGTTATAGTTGTCTTTGAATTTTCAATTGGACTTGAAAATTTACCCATATGTATCTTCTTCTAAGCTAGCTCACCTGTCTTTTATTTTATTTTATTTTATTTTATTTTATTTCTTTTGACTAATCTATATTGTATGTATGCTTATGTTTATTTCTCTCTTTTAAAGAAAAATCTTTGCTGAGACTACTCTTAATTATGCCTTAAAATAACTTTTTCATTTTCATTTTTATTTTTAATTTTTTCTTGATAGCTTCAATTCATCCACAGTATTTCTATTTTAACATTTACAGGAGATTAGGTTGGGACCCAAAAGAGGGCGAGAGCCATTTGGACGCAATGTTAAGAGGAGAAATCTTGAGTGCTTTAGCTAAATTTGGACATCCTGCAACTCATGATGAAGCGTTGAAGCGCTTTAATGCTTTCTTGAATGATAGGGATACCTTGCTCCTTCCTCCTGATACCAGACATGTACGTAAATTCATAGATTTCTGTTCAAGAACAGAATTTGATTGAGCTGTTGCTGATGTTATTGTGTCTTTCTTTTTAGGCTGCTTATGTTGCTGTCATTCGAGCTGTTGATAAGACAAATAAATACGGATATGACTCTCTTCTAAAACTTTATAGAGAAACTGATTTAAGCCAAGAGAAAACCCGAATATTAAGTATATATGAGTAAATTTTCTGTGAAGATTTAGAAAATTGTGCAATATTTACCTGGATTCCTCACTAGCGATTCTCTCCTGTTTCTTTTATTATAGGCTGTTTGGCATCTTCCCCTGACCCAGACATTGTTTCCGAAGCTTTAAACTTTGTCCTTTCGTCAGAGGTTTGGGTTGATATTTGTTCTTTTTGCCAATGCAATGTGCTCTTATTTTTATTTCTAAACTAAAGTTGTTTGGACTAATTTTAAGGTGAGGAATCAAGATGCAGTTTTTGGGCTCTCAGGAATTAGCTTGGAAGGACGAGAAGTTGCATGGAAGTGGTTGAAGGTATATATTCATTGTTCAATTTTCATTCGGTCATACTTACATAAAATATTTTTTCCACTATCGCTGACCTCCATGCGCAGATTCTAAATATTTAAGCACCCAAGGTTTAGAGTAACTTCGTTTCTACTCTGTATTTTTGAAGTTGAGCACATTGTTGCTTTTAATTTTTTCTTCTATTTGCACAAGCTGTCTAACAGTATGGTATGGATTAAAGTTTGTGGTTTTTATGTTGGCCCTCGCATAAATTTTGCCTTTTTTAGTTTAATTTGCAAAATTTGATAAACTCGGCCTACAGAGTCTTTTTATTAATAACTTTTGGGAATGATTTGGACTTTATAAAAGTTTCTATCTTTGCCGATTAACTTGGTAGTTTGGTATATTTTGGGGTATATTTATTTTTAGATCATAAATGAAAATTTTTATTTTTGGGTCCTGAGATGGGGTTATTATTGTTAATATCTCAGAAAGTTTGGTTCAAGCAAACAGCAGTCAATTCAAGTCAACCTAACGGGGTAAGAAAGATAAATATAGAGATCTCACTAGGATCATGGTGAACTCATTGGAAGCTAAATTAGCTTCAGGCTTAATCCATCGTACTCGCAAAGCTTGGAAGCTGTTCGCTCATGTTTAGAAGCTAGCCACCAATCTTAGTCTCTACGCTCCAACTTTCATTAGAACAAGCTAACAACTCTCATCAATCAAGTCGGCGACTTCATAAAAAAAGTTGGTGACTTCACCTCCGCCACAAATTTTGTCAATTGTCAGTATATATATTCTGACATGATTTCATACTATTGAATATATATATATATATTTGAAAAGAGCTACTCATGGCTCCTTACGCGTTAATATCAAAGACGGTTACAAAATATTAGAGAGAAAGAGAATCCACACTAAAAATAAAAAAATATGTATATCGTCCTGGGTGTTCCTCATTTCGCATCACAACTCCACCCAAAAAAGAAATAAAGACGAAACGAAGACCCAAAAAAGAAATAAAGATGAAACAAAGGTAAATATAAACCAAAATTACATATATCCAAACAAAACGTATACCCAACAAATGAAGTACACCCCATATGAACATGTATAAAAATTGAAACAAAGGTAGCGCAGGTAGCAAAGCCAAAATCAGACGTCTTGAAAGCCGGAAATAGCACGAACAAGCATATCCCAAAAATCAAAGACCTGCAGCTCGAAAACTGTGAAAACACCAAACGTGAATGCACCAAACAAGCAAGAAAACATGCGAGCAAGGAAGATGGAGAAGGATCCAAGCTCTTCCAACCCCCCATCCTGAAATGCAAAGAACAAATAAGTAGCCACGGTCATGTTCAGGAGAAAGAGTGAAAATCTCGTATAAATTTGGAGCTATGAGCCTCCATATCGAAGTGATTAACCCCAATCACAGAAAAATTGTAAAGCTGGAGCAAAAAGCTAAACCTCCAATACTCATTCTCAACAGTATTTCCAGAAAAATTATTGTAATAAATCCCATATACCATCTCTCCACATAAACCCTCCCAAGCCAATACCCGAAGCAAGAACCATCTACGAAACCACCAAATTGTAGTAAAGTAAACCTGCCCAACCGTAGCCAAAAAATGGAGCCATGGGCCTCCCAAATTATTCATCACATACGAGGTAATGGAGCCCTGGGCCTCCATGCAAGTATTGTAAAACCATCTACCATATAATGCATGTATAGATGCTGCTTGCTCCATCCAATAACAGACAACTAAAGCACCCTGAGATAAGTTAAGAAGATTAAAAATAGCCCAAAAAATAGCCTGGGCCGAAACATACCACCCAACCAAATCAAATAAGCTAAGAGGAACCATCCTTACGAATATAAGGAGCATCGATGTTGTCACCAACCAGCAGAATGTGCAAAGAGGGAGGGGGAGTATATCCCACCGTACAAATATTAGTGGCACTGCCTAAATTAGCAAGCCAACTAGCGGGTTGGTTCCCCTCCCGGTAATTGAAACTCCACATAACATTCATATTGGAGATTAAACCTTTGATCCTCTTAATATAATAAAGGATCTCATAAGGGGCCTCGACTCCATTAGCCAAAATATCAACCAAGATGCGATTATCACTTTCAAAAATAATAAATTGCCAGCTGAGAGAGTGAGTCATGATAGCAGCCGTTAAAATAGCCCGAGCCTCAGCCTCTATGGGAGTATCAACATATGAAGTAGATGAAAAGAAAAATATACAGTTTCCTGCATAGTTTCTAGCAATGCCCTACAACCAGCATAATTGGCTTTCTAATTTCCATCCGTGTTAAACTTAATCCACCTCCTAGGAGGTGGCCGCCATCTAACCAAAATCGGTGAATGAGGAAGCCTCCTCTCATCCAAATCTGTATGCCCCATAGACAGAAAATAATTGATGCCCGAAAAGAAACTTTTTTAAAACTCCTCATTCTCCATAACTTGTTAATGTGTGCAATAATATTAGTAAAGATCATCATATTCTGAATGGTCTTTCCATCATGAATAATATCATTACGAGCCATCCAGATAAATCAAAATATGATGTAAGGGTAAATTTGCAAGAAATGTTTCTGCTTACGGTCCAGATTACAAATCATAGTAGTAAGCAAAAGATTCCTCTCAGGAGTGACGATAGTGCCAAACCACAAGCCAACCTTCCTCCATATAAATAGTGAAAAGGGCGAGAGAAAAAAATATGCTCTATAGTTTTCTTCGCCGAATTACACAAACAACAACGAGAGACGATTCTTATAGTTTTCTTCGCCGAATTACACAAACAACAACGATAGGCGATTCTTAAACCTTTCAACTTTAATATATCATCACAAGGTATTATAAAATGGAAAATGCGTCATGTCAAGAAAAACATAGCGGGAGTTAATGCTCAATCCCACACCCCGTCACCCCAAGGGAGTTTTTGGAAGTTATGTAAAGAGGAATATAAAGATTTAGTAATGGAGCTTGTCATGTGAAATTTCAAAGTAGGAGTATCTTGCAATTGAGACTCAATAGGAATGGTGGAAATGAAAGCAGCTCCCTCCATCCCCAAAATGCTAATGAGAAGAGGAAAATTCTAATGGCCGTCCACCCAAGTATTCGAAACCTTGAGAGTAGAATACCTCGTATCTCTCATATAAAGCAAAACATGGGACCAACATTCATGCCAGAACAAAATATTTCCACTCCCCACCTCCCAGTAAATGAAATTCTTCGCCCAATCTCTAATATGAAGCAATTTCTTCCACATCGTGGAATTCCCCATTCGCCAATTAATTAAAGCAGGATGAGAGGAGCGACAATATTTCCCGTGCATGAAATTAGCCCACAAAGACTCGCCTTTCCTGAAATTAAAGAATTGCTTAAAAACATTAATATCAGTAATATGTTGCAAAGATTTGAAGCCCAAACCACCAGCATACAGGGGTTTGCAAATATCCTCTTAAGGCATCTATCTTTTACCAGAGTGATTTCCCACCCATAAAAACTTACTGAGACATCTTTTAAGGTTCAAAATAGTACTTTTTTAGGTTGGAGTACTTGAAGAGTGTACAAAGGAAGAGACTGAAGGATGCTCCTGAGCAAAGTAATACACCCCCAAAGGAAAGTAAATTATTTTTCCAATTCAAAATTCTTTTCCTCATCTTTTCCACTTCCTCGTCAAATTGAATGCGCCTCTTTCTGCCTTTAAGGAGAAATACTCTAAGATATTTAAGGGGAAGGGTAGAGAGAGAGAAGCACGTAAAATTGGCAATCCAACATGCGTTTGAACGATTGACCATGTTTCCCAAGTAGATGTTACATTTATTAGCGTTAAAAAGAAGACCAGAGACGGATTGGAATTCAACCATTAAGCTATGAATCTTCTTCACCGTTTTTTTGCTAGCATTAAAAAACAGAATCATGTCATCGACATAAGCTAAATGAGTGACCACCATGTTAGATTTATGAGCGTAATGCAAAGTGAGGTTTCTCCTGAAAAGATTTTTAAGAAGGCGAGAAAGATAGTCAAATATTAAAATGAAAAAAGTAGGAGAAAAAGGATCTCCTGCTTAATCCCACGGCTCACACTAAAAAATCTCCAAGAATGACCATTAATTAGAAGACTATATTTATTGCAATGAAGCCATGAGAGGATAATTTTGTAAAAATTCTGAGAGAAACCACGAGCCTTAAGAACCTTCAAAATAAACTCCCAACTGAGAGAATCATAAGCCTTACGGATATCCAATTTAGTGATCATGTTACACCCTCTACATTTTTTATCAATGTTAAGAATGAGTTCCTGTGTCAACCTGATGTTATCAGTAATCCCTCGCCCCTGAATAAAGACAGATTGATTCAAAGAAATTAATTTGTTGAGATGAGGTTGGATGCGTCTGACCAAAATTTTACTAATCATCTTTGAAATAGCAGGAGTCGTCTAAAATGGTCCCAAGAAGTCCCAAGAACTCTTTTGAGTATTTTTGGGAATGATAACAATTGTAGCGACAGAGAAATAATTTCCTGGTGTTTCCCCTTTAAAGAAACTCTAGATAGCCTCCACTACCTTATTTTTAACAATGCTCCAGCATTTAATGTAGAAAGAAGAAGTGAAGTCATCCGGCCCGGGGGCTTTATTACAATTAATATCCAGAAGAGTAGAATATATTTCCTCAGACGAGGGAATACCACAAAGATCGAGATCTACCATGTGATGACGTACATCATCAAATAAAGAGGCATCAATAGAGCCCGAAGTCTTGTGAAACTCAAAAAGTTTAGAAAAATAAAGAACCGCACTCTCTCCTATCTCCTCATCCCCTATGATCCAGTTCCCCTCATTGTTTTTAATCCTCACAATGGTGTTAGTGGCTCGTATTTGTTTAATGCAAGCATGAAAATATTAGTGTTTCTATCATCTTGAGAGAAATGGATCTCCCCAGTTTTTTGTTGCAAAAACACCTCCTCCCATAGAGAGGCCTTCAATAATTCCTTATTAGCCTCCTGTAAATTGTG